TATTACGTCACATGAATAAACTAAAGACTGCGGAGCCCGCGATGTAGCCCAGGGAACGCATCGCACCGACGCTACGGGGGAGGGAACTCGACGCTTTGGTCGTTCGATATGGTTTTGGTTTCGACCTCGGTAGTTGGACAAGTCTGCCGAGGGATCGGAAAAGTGAAGGACAAGAAGGACAAGGGAGATGAGAGCGCGACCGGAGAAATGGGTAGAGAAGAAAACGTGTCTCAACGTGATTGATCCCTGATTGATTTTTAGATATTTTCTAGTTTCGGGGATTTTATGAATATTAGAAGTGTTGTCATAGAATAGGATGAGTTGACTCGATGAAATGAATAGGATCAAAGTGGATAAATAAGATCTTTTTTTCTTTTTTCTCTTTTACATAGCAAAAAGATATGATTAGATGATATTATATATAGATACTGTAAATATAAATGCGTAAAATTCATTATGTTTATCTCCTTTCTTATTTAAATTATGTCATTTGCAATGTTAAGTTGTTAAAGAAATTATTATACACTTTTACGTAACTTATAAATAATGACATCTTGAAATTGAATGCCAGGATTGAAATTGAACGTCAGGATTGATTTACTTTACAACGTTAAACGTTTGAGAAACGTATGATTTCCATAAATCATCTACTGTAGAAGGAGTTAGAGAGTTACAAGTAATAGCAACAGACCATTGTTTCAACAGTTTGCAGTTGAAAGAAAAGTAAAGGACAATAGGAATAATATTTTTAAGGATCGAGCTTGTTTTACATAAACTTATATTTTTTTTTAAATTGCGTCGATTATTCTATAAATATTAAAAATTATGACGAATGCTTTCATGTCTCTATCTTATTAAATTTATAAGGACTAACAGAGTAAGGTAAAGTTAGCGGCATATTCACAACTAAGTAAACTCGCCGTAGGGGTCGTAAGACATTAAAATAATCGATATCCGCTCAGATCCTAGACTTTACTCGAGCGGTTTAATCCTCGTCGTTATAATATCAAAAATTTCTCCTTTCATTTATTTTAAATATTCTTGCATAGATAGAGAAGGCTTTTGACACGTACATACGTTCAGATTCCTCTCCGTTGATGAGCCAAAGTCTTCCGATAACGCAATCTCTCTTTCGCGAATTTGTAAATGATTCGTTTAATGATATTTCTTTCGACCTTGATAGAAAAACATATCGCTCGATACCTACGTGCATACTCTAAATGCAGCGCTTCGACAAACCGTAGAATATGATTTAAATGAAACCTTGAGACGTTTAATTTTAACCGCATCGCGAATCGAAAGTTATTTTTATTGAGCGCTTTTCACCGGACACAAATTCTATCGCTACGGATATTTCCCCGACTAATTTCACTTTTGCATTGACCAAATCTGCGTCTACGACAGCTCGGTAATACAATTTAACGCCATCAGATCACTGCGATTGATTGTTATATTCACAATGGTATTCGCAGCAAATAATAGTTTAAATTTAGTTATGATATTCAGTTGTTCGATTGGCCTAATTAGAGATAAATTTATTAGAAAAGGATTGACATAATTCTCCGAGTTTGTCTCGACATATGAAAAGATGGAAAGAAGAATTTTTACAAGCTTAAAAATAAAAATTAAACTTGTTTTAAATTTATAAAGTCAAAAATTATTTATTTATTTACAATGTGTTGTCAGTCTTTTTCTTTATCAATTTAGACCCTCTTCATTATTTCAGTGACACACATTAGTGTGTGTTATTAAATCAGTTATTGCAAAAATTGATTGGACGCAAAGATTAGAGAGAAAGATTAGAGAGAAAAGAGAAGAGAGAAGAGAGAGAGAGAGAGAGAGAGAGAGAGAGAGTGCACACGAATACACATTATTATAAAACCGTTGTACATTGTTTTAATCTGAATGTAAAAATGCAATGCAAATATTGTGAATTATAAAATACACATTTTATCTTATAGTATAGTGTATAGAGGATTTCATAGTTTAACCGATTCCTATATATTTATATTAAATACACATCTTTATGTCAATTTGTATACAAAGACTTTAATATGTATCTGTATCAGTACGCACTGAGTGTTTTTTGAATCGAATTCGCTAGAAATCAACTTGTTTTCTTTTTTATAAAATTATCAATATGTAACACACATTAGTCTTTTTTTAAAAATTCCTCGAAATTGAAACGACATTTAATCGTATCAATATTAATGACTGAAATACTTATTTGTGATTTTCTAATTAGATTCGTTCAATAATTTTTTAAATTATATTTAAAAAGGCACTTATAACTGTACGGCAAGTGAAATGTATTAAACTGCCATTATTTCAGATACAATTACGTATACTTTCTGGTAAATGTTAAATATTTTCGATAAAATTGTTAAGTTTTTTTTTACTATGTTATAAAAGGAATATTATTCATAACTATTTGATAAAAAAAATTGGAATGACCTAGAATCTCTTTTATTCGTCAAATTATTTTTATTATTATAAAAGAACCTTCAGACCAATTGCACATATTTCAAATCTAAAAACAGAATCACTCACCAGTGAAAAAGAGATGATCTTTTAAAGTATATTTATAGTTTTAAGAATTTATAGAATCTCCACACACACAATACATGTTTGCTTTTCAAAAAAATCCGTTTTGTATAAGTCTCTTTTGAAGTTTTGTCTCTAATGAAGAGATAAAAGAACTAATCGTGAAAATTTCTTAAAATATTACTTAAATTAAATGTGTGCATTAAATTGTTTTATAGAAATAAGAATTTTTAGTAATTGTAATGGTTGCGTTTTAATAGGTTTACAATCATTTTAAGTTGCCGTATTTATGCTAACAGTATTTATTATATGTTACACGTAAAATTATTATTATTAAGTAAGTGGTTTACAGTATTATTATTAGTAAGTAACTTTGACAAACAGTAATAACAATTTTGAAATGTCTCTTTTACTTTCATATCTATTTTTTATGAAATATATTCTGATATAAATTTTTTTTAATATAGTAGCTACATTTATAATGTTATTATTATTGAAAAAATATAATTTGTCAATTATATTTTTATACATTTTCCAATGATAATTAATTATATAATAATTATATGATTTAGATATGAAATTATATGAGAATTGTATGATAATTCTCATAATTTAACAAATGTACACTAATTTTAAAAACACAACGGAATATCTGATGGCTTTGCTTAATCATTTTTGAGCTTAGAATACATGTTAAAAACAATTTAAAAAAAACCTCTTTAGAAACATCTGTTTCATTAGCTAAATACAATTCTGAAGAAACGGATCCAGACTATCAGAAAGGCGATGATTTATAAATATAGACGCAACTTGGAAGAAATATTGATCTTTCCATGAATATATAAAAAGAAACATGAGTTCGTACGTATTCTTGATATTATTCCCGCAGTTATATTTATAGATATATTCGCACTAAAATTGAGTGTGTCTACATGTCACCAGTAAGTATGAGAAATATGAGTGTACAGCATGCCGACACGGTCAAGTGTCGGGCAATGAAAACGAATGAAGAGAAAAATTTCAACGACGTGGCTCGCCACCTTCTTTAAATGTTCCGTAGTGTCGTATTCTTACGTTTTTAGTTCATCATTTTAAACGTATTTTAAATATCTGCAAATAGATTGCATATCAGTCCTACAATAATACGTGTAATATTGCATGTGCGATAAATAATACAATGTAATCACGAATACATTCATGTGCGTCGCATAGATTGTACAATGCATTAAGCGAGTTAAATCTAAAATGTATATTATACATTGTATTTTAGAAACATTAAATAATATTGGTTAACTTTCTGCCTTTGATTGCTATGATGCAAAATTATATGCAATTATTATATCCTATAGTTAGATTAGTATGACCTTTGGTTAGATTATTGAACAAATTCATTCTTTTTCATCCTTTTTGACGACATAGTATTAATGTCTTTTAGAATATATTTTTTTATTCTTTGATTTCATTAACGAATTAATTAATTTATGATATTTTTCAATTCTTAAAAAACGAGATGCTCAAACTGTCTTAATATAATTATATCACTGTTCGTCTATATATTGCGATTTAATATTATTATAAAATAATTCGCATAAAACAATTCAATTTTATTAATTTTTATACATATATATATATTATTGGTTAGTATTATTTAAATATTTATTTCATTGAATAATTGAATACCTTGAATTGAATTAATAAGAGTAAAAAAAGAGATCTTTTAAAAAAAAGGTACTATTTTCAACTTTTTTCAAATCTTATAGCGATACTGTTAAAAATTTTAGAAGCAGGTAACGGATGGTATATGCACTTTTTTTAAGTTGAAATCTTGATTTGATTTACTGTCTCTTCATCGAAGCAAGAGACATAATCGATGAATGAAGTTAAACTTCATCTATTATTGAACACATTAGAATATTCATGAAACGTTTTATGTAATGCGATTACCAGAAAACTTAAGACTGACTTAAGAAACATCCAGTAAATTGTATTTTATCATTTTTTATTATTTTATATCATTCACTCTACAATATGACAACTGCATTAGATTAATATACACGCTGGCTTATAGTTAAAAAGTTTTAAAGAATTTATTTTTTCATCTGTCGTCACATAAATATGTATGTACAAAAAGATTTTTGTATTAGTTGTTGCTTCGACACATTTTGATTCCTTCTAGTACAGTATAAAATACTTGTATTTTTCTTTCTAGTACAATAAAATATGAAAGAGAGAACGATAAGAAAACATATAACTCTATAAAGAGAAAGAAACGTCCCTTAGTATTGTGAATATTAATTCATTTATCACGTTACATCTCGACTATACTGAATAACGCCGTAATCCGAGATAAATGATGAAGATTCTCGCGAAAAGTTTGACAGTGATCCTCGATGCTATTGGGAGAGTAAGATACGTGAGGTTGGCAAATGTAGTGGGAAACAAGTAATTTCACTCACCGTAGAATTCGGCATGCATCGCCTCGGCGGCGGCGGCATCGGATCCGGCGCGGCACGATAAGGCGGCGGCGAGTATCTCCCTGAGGGAAAGCATCCCGGGGCGGTGATCGGTGCCCCGTGGAGTCCCTTGCTCCCCATCATCTTGTCCGGCGAGTACATCATTCTGCGTGCCGCTAAGCCTATCCCGGCTTAGGGGTCCGCGGTTGATTCCCGAATCGGTACCCTCAGACGGAACGGTAAGCGTGACACCAGCAGCGACGGCTGCGCTTCTTGCTTCCAAGACGCATTCGCATCTGTGTGATCAAATTGTCTGGATGTCGAAGCGTGATATTCAAATAGAGTACGTTGTTCACACCGTTCACGTTTTCACCGTGCAAAGTGAGCCGAATCGAATGGAGCCACGTCCAGTCGAATCGTTTAGATACGCACCGATACGATAATCCGATATGATTAAGGGATCTTCAGCACCTCCACGACGATGCACCCACTTATCGTCGGTTTCGGCCGAGAGATCAGTCCATCTGTAAAGCGACGGAGAAGATTGGAGATCCGCGGCTCCACATCTCGATCGTCAGTTTAGACTGGACACTGATGGAACATCACTGTTCGCATAACCACACAGTCAACTAAGAAACGCACTGTGTGCGTTTATTATCGATGACAACCAACGATCACCAACGATCGCGTATTCGCAAGCACCTTCCTTTCCACGAAACTAAGATCGATTGCACCGCTACCAGACACTTCACTCGACGTTCACCAGGGTCCACCCTACGGCTCAACGTTCCCGCCAAAGAAGAGCCGCCGGAAACCGATCGAGGCGATCCACTGAGCGGTGAAGTCACCAAATTTTTCGTGTCCCACAAGACTCTCGTCACTGCCATATACAAGGGTTTAAAGATTACGCGCAGGGTAGGACACGGACTCTTGTCCCGAAGCTCTGCACTTTTTGGCGCTGACTGGCCAGCGAGGAGCGTTTCGCGGATGAACTCTTCCAGGGGGATGGTAGGAGCGCTGTCCGTGTACGTGGTACTGGTGGGGTTGCAGCGGGGGTTGGTGGTCCTGGATGATGCGGCAGCGTGGCGCTTGCCCACGATGCTAGGGTTCGCACTCATGTACGGGAGGGAGAGCAAAGGGGGTGAGCTCGGTATCAGCCAGCAAAACGGAGAGCTTTGCCGAACGGGGGCGGAGCCTCGCGCGGTTACGCTTGCGCCCCTAATCTCATGCACGTCGGCCATCTTTGCCCTTGCTTTCAGGCCTCGCATGGGTGTCGCTAACCGCGACCACCCGTTTGTCCATCCTTCCCCGTGTGTGTTCGTCTCTGCGTAAGTGTATGTGTGCGTCATCCCTTCACCCTTCTACTTCTACGCTTTACCCACCACTACTACCATCACTGCCGTCGTCGCCGCCACCGCCGCCACCGCCGCCGCCGCCGCTCGCGCTCGATCCTCTTTACACCCTCTCTCTATATTTCTAGTTGAACCAAGTCCATCTTTCTCTCTTTTACCTTCCCTGTCTTTTCACCGGTATATCTCTGTAACCTCTTCCGGCGCGTCTTTCTTCTTCATAGCGAATATCAACTACCTTATCGGTCTCTTTCTCACACACACACACACACACACACACACACACACACACACACGCGCGCACACATACATACATACATACATACGTGCGCGCGCGTGTGTGTATGTGCTCTTGATACACAAATATTATAATGCGCGTTATCATTACGTTTTTGGCAAAGATTATAATAAACACGGGAGCGACTTACATAAATACTTACATATATAAATACATATTTATTATAATTTTTATCTCATTAGCATGATAAATCTTTTTTCTTTCTCTTATCTTTATATAATTAGTATGTACGCACGTAGGTACGTGCATTTTCTTTTTCTCATCTCGTTCAATCTATCTCTTCATCGTTCGCTACACACTTTTCCTTGGAAAAGTCGTTGGGGTGAACTTCATCCCCAAGTAAGTCTCACGCGTCGTGCGCGCGTCAGTACGAAAACGGATGACATTTTTTTTCTTACATCTGTACACATCACATCGCACTTTCGTTGGCCCAAGCGAAACTCGCTGTCACGCCGCTCTTGACATATTAGTAAAATCATATTTCCTATATACATGTCCTATATAAATATATACTGTATATGCCATTTTGTATTTTTCTTTCTAAGAAAACTCGCTCGAATCTGACGTCGCTGCCGTTCCAGATGAGCGATAGGCGAAATCAGTGCTTCAACCGCGGGGAAATAACGTATATAAAATCTGTTTTAAATCTCTATTTAATAGTGCAGGGACTGACAAAACAACCGAAATTTATTAATCCGTATTGTTGCAACATTTATATTGTTATCAAAAATTGGTCACAATATTCTTTATACTGCAGTATGCTGAACGATACACATGTATTTGTGTTTCCCGCATTAAACCTTTACGAGGGTGTACCGAACGCAGAAATTGCGCAGTAAAATTTGTTTTAAATGATCACGACGAAATGTCCGAAATAACTGAAATTCATTAATCCGCATTAATATAATATTTATATCAAATTAATCAGAATATATTTCTTAATACCACAGAGCAAGTGCAATGGCATATGCACAGTTCTCAAATTAAACGCTTATTTGCTCCGTCCATAATAACATTGCATGCAATTTTCATTTGAAATATATAAATTTTAACATCCGGCAGTTACACATAACGCTGATTACGCTGTATAAATGTGAATTAATGTTTTTTGAACTTTATTTAAACTCATTCATTTTATTTTATGATTTATTTTGTAAGTACTATATATATATATATATATATATATATATATATGTATGTATGTATGTATGTATATACAGTTTAACAAATGAAAACTGTGGGCGCTCAATAAATTTCTATTTAATGTTACAAATGTAAGACTGCTAGTAGAATTTTTATTTTTATACCATGTTCACAATGACAAAGTGGTACTAAAGAAACGAAATACGTGCGACGACGCGCAAAATATGAATTATGTTAAAAATAGGTATCTTATACAGTTGGCATTATAATTATACATCCCGCTCATTTCTCGTACCGTCCCTTGAAATACTCAAGTCACGCAAAAGCATTAAAAGCTATCATTAAAACAGCCTTGAAGCACATGTGTAGTCAAAACTGTAATTAAAGCGACAAAAGGGTATGACAGAAAGGGGGACGCCATTTGTTGTATTCATTTGTTGGTTCTACCAACATTTTAACACTGTTTTTTTAGCAGTTTACTCTACAAAATATATGTACTCTTAAATCTATGTAGGATAATAAGCGATTATGAGAATAGCGATATTATTTAAGCATACATGAACAATATGAAAATACGATATGAAAATAATACAGTCAGGCTTATGTCGAAAAAAGATATATAGCGAGAAATAATGTATAATACTTGATAGAAACTATTTTTTTATTAATATTCTATATATCATGAAATTAACTTAATTAATCTATACTATTATTTACATATATATATATATATATATATATATATATATATATGCTAATAATGATAATATTTTCAAACATTTCTTTCAGTGTTAATACAATAATATCCATGTGTACGTGGAAATTTGGACTAGTAAATCATCGCACTAAGTGCAGACTTGTGCGAGCTGTTTTATAATAAATTTTTAACGTGCCGTGAACCCTTCGTAGTTCAGGACCCCTCTGTTAGTCCCGCAAGGCTTCGGGATTTCAGTCGATCGAATAAACGAATAAAGCCATCTCCTACTATATGTAATTCTTCGGATGCCAATGAAACTGACCTGTACAAAGATTGACCCTTTTTTATGTATACTATGTCTTTACTTATTTAATATACGTTGATCGCCTTTCATAGATAGAAAAATTATAATATGTACTAATATTCTATTGTGCAAGTTTTTTTTGGCAATTCTTACGAATGGCTTTAAAGTCTGGCAAGTCAGTCTACTTATAAACTTCACAAACATGAACTCATGAACCGCACGGTAAACAGTTTATTCCGTTAGTGAGTAATATCGGCTATTTCGTCTTTGCACTCCATGATCAATCGTCCTTCGCATCGGAAGTCGGAAGTTGAAAGACGGAACCAAAAGAGAAAAGCGCTACTATACCTCATATATCGTTACAACGACGCTTCGAGGCTCTATAGGGGGAAAAAAAAAAAAAAAAAAAAATACGAATGGGTCGGTAAGAGATGGATAGGAAGGTTGGCATACGTAGAACGCAGATGAGAGAATCGTCGGGACGCAGAGGGTAGGTACGGTAGGGCGGAGGGACACTGTGCGAGTTTGGCGGCAGTCGTTTTCCGAGGGATGGTTGGGCGGAAGGTTCCCGCGGGGCCTGTGTTATCGCCTCGGCAGGATGACCAGCCCGCGGTATCAAATATTAAACCTACTTGCACCCGGCAGCCTATCCTCGACAAGATATCCAAACCTTCCCTCTGCCGTCCCGCGCACCGCGACCAACCGGCCTGCCCTAACCGACCTACCACGTATACCACATCGCTGTGCACCAACGGCTACCATCAAAACCTACGCCTAGCCACTACATCTCTATCTCTCCACTTGCTGCTGTGCTTACGTTGTTTGTTCGTATAATGCCGGATGTTCGTGGCCAGGAGCACAATTCGCCGAGCAGCTGTTTCGTACAAAGGTACCTTGGCAAAAATTGTTTTCTGACGATATTAAGAAGGTAACGAGAGAAAGAGAGAGAGAGAGAGAGAGAAAGAGAGAGAGAGGGACGAAGGAGAAAGTCTGTGAAGTTATTGATATGTTGGTCGAATATATCTACGATTAATCACGCGCAGTAATGCATTCAAAATTAAAACAATGTGATGTCGTGATATTAAGAGATTCTTACAGAGTCTAATATCTGCTAAGAATTAATTTATTATTGTAAAAGAAAGGTTAATAGAACCTGAACGTGGATATACATTACATATAGGTACGTATATCTGAAACGATGCAGTTGTTACACATTAATCAAATGATTAAATATACATGCGAAGAGAGAAAAGATGAGGTGAAATTAATAAGTACATATAAGATATAAATATAAGATACGATTTTTTTTTTATTATGACCTTTATTTCTGCAAATTGCTAAATAACGATGATATTTTTTATGCATAATACATGGAGTATATGTGGAAAGCGTTATAAAAGAATAATTACGAAAAGAATATTACTGTATTCTAGTTATTCATAAAAATACAAGAATGATGCACTCTATATCAACGTTGCGTCCACGCTTAATAATTAACATATATATAATTTCATACATGTCGTTATATAGTTTTGCGTATAATAACAGTTTTATTAATATTTAATATTTTTAATCACGTTTTATAGCACAAGAATTAAAGTGGTCTTTTTAATG